GTACTGCTAACTGATCAAGTTTATTAACAATCCATGTCCAATTTTTAGTTCAGTCAGAAACTCATTAGTTTACTTTGTTTCATATGACTGCCTTGATTTATTAATATATCAACTGGCTTTTGCAAGGACCTATAATTCAGGAGGTCGAAATCCATAAATTATTCATATCAAAATGTATAGCTACGCTAATTTCTTAAAATAAGTTTTGATGCTATTTGAAACGATAATACAGATATAACGATTAAACAATGAGACCGAAACAACATAATCACTGAACACAACTGTATACGACCCAATTATACTTGAACTATAAAGCCACAAAGATAGAAACAACATAAAGTTTATATCATTATCGTTTAACCATCTAACGGCATGGACGAGTAACGTTAATGTCATTGAGATAGTATCACATGACTCTGAAACGGTTGATGTTACAAATCAGAAAACCTAATGACGTTTGGTTATTTACTTTGCATTTACACTATATCATAGATAGGAGGACTAGCACTCTGTTAGGTGGACGGAGGCCATCATCAGGAAGCCCTGTACCTTGGCTACTAGGTAGTTGGTAAACCTAACCACGATGATCTACAATAGACAAGTTTCAAGTAACTGCTTCTTATGTTATTTAAAAAAGATAAGGCACTATGTTTCTAGGTGCATATCCAGTATGCAATTTTCAAGGATTTAGACAATATTTTCACTTATGAAATATGAAAACCTACATTAAGAAAACCAAGGTAGGAAACAGGAACATTGACGACTACTTTATGTAATTAACAAAATGTGTACATGAATAAAAAAACCACATTTGTTTCAACGAATGGCAAACATATTTTTAAGCATCCCACCTTGTCATCGACTCTCGTACTAATTTCGATAACCTATCCATTCACAAAATCCATTATTATGACTACACTTCAACGGTGATATAGTAACTGAGGAAAAGAAACACAGCATCATTTCACGACTTATCAACCAGCATTTTTACCTGAAAGTTGATGGATAGTATTTAATTTGAAGGCCAAAGTTATTGTTATATTCAGTAACAAACGGATATATCTTGGGCCACTTCAATTACTTACTTTAGTGAAGATTTTAAAACGCTATTTATTCAACGAAAATGAAATTTAATTCATATAATATTGTTTAATATCTTCATAATCATACACCAATGTAATTTTACTTATTGAAGCAAAGCTACTAAATGAACTAATCAACGGACTAAGTGCAGAACAGGTAGTTATTTTTTACAAATTTCATAATAATAGTAATCTACTATTGTACTCTTTCTATTAACAGATTGTATCTTAAAGACTAATATATCGATAGCTAAAAACTGTTGTAATCTATTTATATAAATGATGTATTCAACAGTAGTTAGCAATGGAATGAAGGATGAGGACACCCTCCCATTCAAAAATTGTCGCCCAGATGTACCTACATTCTAATATTGATGCTCATAGTGAGACTTGAACACAGTGCTTGAATCAATCAACCCACCAGGTAACAATAACCATCGACATGATTTGCACAAGTTTGTTTATATGAAGATGAAATTCGAAGAAACGTGAGTCATGGATCCCATTGTTAACTAATATACCAAACATAATCAATTGTTACCTATATTCAATACAAAACTAATCGATTAAATAGTATATACGCCATTCGACCGATATTGATCAAACATGATCATGAATATCAGAAATAGAGAAATGTAAATTTTTATAAATCATAACAATGATTCAGATTAATGTTACATTGTTACCACATAAGATTACATATCAAGTGAAATATATTACTTTCTAATATATAGAATCTAAACAGAATATAGTGTTTCTTTGATCTTGGAGTATTGTCAGAAATTATATCTAGTGATTAATGTTATAGACTGACCTGATTATATTGTTGTTGTCTGATAAATAATCAACATTCAATACAATAATGTAGATACACATTTTTAAAAATGAATCAACAAAAAACTAATTTGATGATTAATTTCTTTTAATAAGCAAATGTAACGTAGGCGGGTTTTTTAGTTTGATCGAAATTATTATTATTATTATTATTATTATTATTATTATTATTATTATTATTATTGAATAGTATTGTAGAGTAAATTCATTTACGAATGAATAAACAATTGATAATAGTAACAATAAATTAGATTCAATAACTTATACAACATCGTCAAATAGATAGATCAATTCATCAACTTTTATTTATCAGATATTGATTGAAATTAGTTATTTGATAATGAAAATTGAGATTTTCTCTTTCAAGAAAACAAAAAAAGAATCATCCAATGTTGTTCCCATCATGTTGTAAAAATGACAAGTTTTTCCTTTTTATTGTAAGACAAGAATAATAAATATTGTAAGATGAAGTCAATTATTTGTTGTTGTTTACTCTTCATTTTATATACATAGAATCATTTAAATAAACGGACTGCTCAATTACAATCCTAAACATCAATAGGAAAATTTTTTGAATGTCTCATAAGAGTAGGTGTCATTACCAAGGTTTGATTTGATAATTTCGAATAAATTGAGCATTGGGTTGATTGTTATAAATAAAAATAATATATTTGTAATATCCCAATGAGTAGAAAAACTAAATTTTCTGACGTTTCGTGGCTTAGTGTAAGTCACTTCTTCAGAGAAGAGTCTTTTGACTATATACTTAAAGTACACAATAGGAAAACAGTTGAACTCATAAGTTTGCATCTTAAAGTCAGACAGAGAGATAAGTGAAAAGACGATCTACATTCTATTTAATAAGATTTGAGAGGAAAAATGAGAGTCACGATAGAATTGAAAGGAGGATATTTCATAAAGATACGAAAAAAAGAGATCTGAGCAAATGTGAGAACTACAGAGGAATCACACTTGTTTCAGTATCAGGAAAGGTTTTCAACAGTGCTGCTGAATCGTATGAAAGATTAAACAGACACCCAACTTCAAGATCAACAAACCAGATTCCGTAAGGATCGGTCGTGCACAGACCAAATAGTGACACTAAGGATCATCGTTGAACAATCAATTACATCGAACTCGTCACTATACACCAACTTCCTTGATTATGAGAAAGCAATTGACAGTGCCAATAGGAGAAAATTGTAGAAACTTCTTTGACACTATGAAGTGAGTAGCTGAAAAGATTGTCAACATCATACGAAATTCATACGACAAACTACACCATAAAGTCGTTCATGGAGGACAGTTGACAGATGCATTCCAAGTGAGAACCGGTGTCAGACAAGGCTGCCCACTCCCGTCCTTTCGCTTCCTCCTGGTGGTCGATTATGTTGTGAAGACATCCACATATGATGGGGAGCACAGAATAAAATGAATAGGTTGGATGCAACCAGACGATTTGGACTTAGCAGATTACCTGGCCCCTCTATTCCATACACATCAACAAATGCAGGTCAAGACAAACAGTGTATCAGCAGCAGAAAGCCTCAACATACACAAGAGAAAGAGGAAGATCCCCAAATACAACACAGAGAACACCAACGCAATCACATTTGATTGATAAGCTCTGAAAAAGGTGAAAACTATCACATACCTTGGCAGCATCGTCGACAAACAGGGAATATCTGATGCGTATGTAAAGGTAAGGACTAACAAGGTACGAGCAACAATCCTATAACTTAAGAACACATGAAAATCAAGACAACTGTCAACCAACATCAAAGTCCGAATTTTCAATAGAAATGACAAGATAGTTCTATTGCACGGATCTGAAACCTGGAGAACCATTGCAGCAATCCTAAATATTACACATGTATGCATATGTTTTTTATTCGGGATACGCCATATCCGTTTGCCAGACACTATTAGCAACAAACTACTATGGAGGACAACAAACCAGCTCTTAGATGAAGATTTAATTATTAAAAGACGTTGCATGTGCATAGGGCACATTGAGGAAATCATTGAACTGCATCAAGAGGCAAGCCCTGAAATCAAAACAGAAAAGAGGGAGACCAAAAATCATTGTTTCGAAAGCCGGAGGCAGACATCAAAAGGATGAATGGCACTTGAAAGCAGTCCGAGAGGAGGACAGATTTCGATGGGGAATCCTGGTGGACGGAGTAAACTTGTAGTGTCGGTTATTATGTTAAGCCCATATACCTTATCCTAGCTTTCGGACAGCCCAATCTATTCATTCTACTTGAGTCAAATTCTGACCTTGTTAATTATTCGCTTATCAACCTTGACTGCTTTTATATGAGCGCGTAGGTGTGTGTACACTTCCTATCCCATTACTCATCACATGTCTGTAACTTATTTTTGTGTGCCTATAAATATTGATTAACGCTTGACTAAAGGGAAGTTGGCTTACCCGCCATCTCCACTCCGCGTCGTTTCTCTTCTCTCTATCCCATTCGCTTCATATACAAAATATATGTATTCACAAGTCCATTCTCGTTATTTGACTTATTCAATTCCGTTATTGACTAACGCGATTTAAGTCGATGATTATACATGAGGATAGGCGATAACAAACATTCATACGATCTAACTGGAGTCAGATCCATGGGCCACTAAAGTGGAGAGCCTGTAAACAGACATCGTCCGATATAAATGACGACAAAATAACGGGTTCCACATACTTCTCCCCGACGGTTAACAGGCATAAATAATTACTTAACGAATGTGTATAGAATAAGTGTGTCACAGACGTAACTATAAATATATTGGAATTTTTCGGTGAGTAGTTTTATTTTTTCCAAATGTAAAAACTCTCAGAGTTAATTTATTATCATCGTATTACCATTCAACCTAACCAGTGTTTCGAAAAAGCTAGAGAGATACAATCATATAGCCTGCTTGAGCATCTGGGCTACCTGTTCTTGCCATCTAGATATTTCAACAAGTTATCTATTTTTGTTTGTATTAATCTATCATTAAGTTTATTTATCGCATAACCTATTCTGCTGCGTTTCTGAAAAGTGTACAACCTTTCGTTGTCAAAGTTACAAAAAACTCAATAAGAGACTACGTGGTTGCTGGCAATATACAACGAGAAGAATGCACATTATTCAGATGTTCATTTACTGAACTGCTAACATCTAACTGGCGATTACTCGATATTTATCGCCAGGACCGACCAAGAAGAAAGAAACGGAAACTTCTTGAAATACTTTGCGCTGAGAATTCTAGATTGTACCAAAAATATAATATTGAATAAAGCTGATAATAATAATAAAAATAATAATAATAATAAAAGAATTTCTCTATTCGTTTTATATACTGATAAACTGTCTGATCCACATCGTGAAAGATATCTCCTACATCTACATGATAATATATGCGAATAGTTAAAAGACTAAATTGACTAAATATTAACGTAAACGGATATTTCCTCAAAATTTACAACAGCTAGTGAAAAAAATCAAAAAATACGAAATGAAAATAATTTTTTATTCTATTTCTACAGATTCTCTGTACATCAAACATACATCATAATAGAAGATTAAAGAATTAGTTTTAATTAGGTGAAAACGCACATTCCTACCGACTAAGTTTACCGGTCACCCTTTCCATTTTACAATGATACAAGAAGAAAACTACATGCATCATATTTAATCAATCGGCTTCACTGGAGGTCTAGCATTGAATTCACCTATATCATCCTTTTTGCAAAACAATAAAACAACGGATGATAAGGAAAATAAGCACATTTCGACAAATGTATTATTATTAAAATGAGACAATGACTAACAGTAAAATCCAGGACGTGTGTTTCATTTGGTTTGAAACTTGCCAGTTGGATGCACCTGCATCCACCAATGCGTTATCTACTGAGACACAACGAGTTCAGTCAGCCACTGGCTTATGTATGAACTTTATCTGTAAATAGTTTTATTGCTGTTGTCGATATTACGGACTACAACTAATCTACGTTCTGGATAATGTGTTGGTATTTGGAGTGAGAAGTTCTGAGTTCGAGTCTCATGGTAAACATCAACAATGAAATGCAGATGTGCCCAAATGACGAGTCCAAAACAGGACGAAATGTACGTTACCGGACCTACTGCTCGCCACAATCAAACTTTAGTAATGACTTGTGAATAAATGGGAGTATAGAAACGATTAGCTCAGGATATACGTATGACAAAAAAGAATGGTAGATTGTAGGCTGTAATATCAACAATGAGATAATACAAGCCTTTACAAATTAAGTAGATTTTTATATTGAACAAAAAGCATGTTATAAATAAACATTGGAAATAGACCAACAAACTATTTTTTCTTAACACATAAATCTGACTACATAAATTTCCATTGAAAGACTCACCTACAACATTACGAAATGGTGTTTTATTTAGTCAATGATGACTTTCGGTGGTCAAACTTAATGAATAACAGAGAATTTGTTAAATGCTATGATTATCCTAATTCAGTTGTATCCTATGGCATCGTATTTTATAGAATACTTTAAAAACCAATTGCTGTAAAGTGCGGCGTCTGAAAGCTCATGCCAATAGGCACTCTTACTATACACAAGCTCGGCTATTCTATAGGACAGACGAAGAGTGAGGAAGCAAGTTTATTTGACTAAATGCATTCATGTATGTGTCCTGTTTGGTGAAGACGCTGACTGAATGCAGTCTTTTGGTAACATTGAGCTACAATGCCAGGATATTTAGGATGTGTTTCTTCCCTATAAATGCAAGTTTGTTGCTTCAGGACTGATCTACATCAACACCCGAATCAAGGATAGGGAATGAAGTAGTCAAACGCATCGACAACTTCACTTATCTTGGAAGTCTGATCAACCCTAGTTGGTTGGTGAATGACCAAAACTCTGCACGGATTCACAAAGCTCGTTTCGCTTTTGCCAACTTACATCACCTATGGTGAAGGTGAAATATCCGTCTATCAATTAAAGGACAGGTATACTGTGCGAATCTTCATCGACTGAGATAGTTGATCCACGTGTTACGTATGCCTAGACACCGATTACCACGACGCGTAATGCTGACTAGTATTGGAGATGGTTGGAAGAGTTAGGGGCGGCCAAACCAAAACGTGGCATCAGTGATTGAACTCACTAACTTGTAATCTGAGCCATGTTGGTAGATGCAGACTACTTGATTGGGGTCCGCGTGACTATCGTAACCAATGGTTGGAGACTCTTGGTGACATGGTTCGGAATCGATGACAGTGGCGTCGGTGTATACACTCTCAGTCTTCCCTTAAACTAAGAGATTAAAATCGCTTCATATGTTTCTTTCTATGAACTAATTCTTTCTTCCTGTACTATATCCTTATTGCAATCTTTCTTTTACATATTACCACCTCTGAATTAACTACTTTTATGAATTCGGTGTCCATCTTGTTGTATTAATGAGGTATGACAACTTGGACTGATGCATATATGTGCCTGGTCCTACGTTGTAGCTGACTGACTGACAAATCAGGCAAATCAAGTGCATTTTTCATTTGATGATTTCTGATTGGTTCAATGTATCACCACTCGAAGATGTGTCAGACTATTCTCTATCATCAAGGATGTGTATAATGACCTGAAAATGTAAGCGAGAAATTTGTTTAGGTGACACACCTAATTAGTCACTGTAGATGTACAAAGTAAACACTGTGAAAGTGATCATATTGTGTTGTCCCGTTTTAATAAATTAGATTATTTTTAGAATCAGTTACTGAACTCTCTTTGGTAGTATGAGTTTTCGCTATTGGTTATGTACTTTTAACTAATTGTTAGTTCCCTTTAAATCATGATGTCACTGAGTTAACTAGTTTCATCTGACTTCTTCACATCAGATCCATACACGATCTCTTCTATGAAAGTGAATCAGAGTATATTTATGGTCGAAAATAAGGGAATAACCTCAAATCCAGTAGGATGATTTGTGACTTTTGACTATGTCACAGGATAACATAATAACCTTAATTTATGTTTCACGTGTTTTAGGACTTTATCATTAGGTGATATTAAAACTAAACAAGAATCATGCATAAATATAGCAATATTTAAGCATAAGGAATCTCTCTGTAGTCTAATAAACTTATTCATATTTTTCAAATCAAAACCAATGGTCTGCGGATAACAAAAAGTACTTTAACCAGGAAATAGAGAATTAATTTAGAATTACATAAATGATTAAACAGTAAATTTATACTAAATTAGCTTACTCCTGTTGACTTTAAATAACGATCTCTCACCATATTATGAACATATTCTGGCGTAGATGGCATATTGCCCAAAATAAGCATTAAGAGTGGCACTCCAAGATATACTGTTCCCCGAAATCCTTCACGAAACCAATGTCTTAATGCCTTCCAAAGAGATTTAATAAACCAAGGATTAGTCTCAAATTTTAAGTTGAAAACTGAACCCTTAAATTAGCGAATTAGTAAAATGCTTAAGATGAGTTATGCATAAAAGAAGGCACTTAAAAGTTGTTATTTGCTTATTGTAAATCATTGGATTAGTCAAATGATTTAGCGACTAGTATTTATTTAATTTCTTCGTTGGGGAAATGTTCTGTTGCTAATATGATTAACAGTATTAAGCTAGAATGAACTGGATAATCTTGTTCAGATGTGATCAGGAACGATTACAACCCTAATTCACCATTGATATAATATTAATAAAGTGAACCAAATATTATTTGAAGGACACATCTGTTGAGTATTTATTAACCAATGTATATTTTTTGTCTATAATCTGCTCTGCGAAATGTTACCCTTTATAATTTAGATACGTCATATTTATTTAGCAGAGTAATTCTTTTATTTAATTGAATAACGGCAAAAACTGGATATTTCCCCCACCTTTCAGTTTGTGATTTACCTCCTGAGTTAAGATTTTCATCGCTTGACTGTAAATAGTTGTCGAAAACTTCAGTTTCCTAAGTCATCACTGAGCAACTCAAATTTGGTTATGGAGTAAACATATCAGTAATCATTCAGTGCATATTTTAAGAAATGTCACTCACAAAGCTATCATAAAACAGGAGCATCCAGTACGTTTTTTTCTCTGAAATCCGAATCATCACCGTTCAATACAATTTCGAAAATTAACAGAATTAGTTTTGTTGATCAACTAAAAACATGCCATTTGTAGAGTTCATATGAAATTATGACTGCAAATTGTAGCTATTTGAAGAGTTAGAGGAATTTTCGAGTAACTAACATCATTTGAGAATATCTAGCAAGATGCCATTCCACTTTCTCGGTCAAAACTAAACACATAAAAGTGTGAATTTTGTTTCATTAGTAGTCTTTTCTTTCAAACATATATACTGTGGCTTATGAAATAAAACTCCGTACATGGAGTCACAGGTTAGAAGTGTCTCGTATAATACACTTAAGTGGACGAGTCATTACTCAAACCACAAAAGAAACATAACCTCAGACAAAATGAATTCATATAGTCTCATTAAAAATATACAGCTAAGAGCTTAAACTTAACTCCGCCTGGAGTGCCCCCAGGGGCTACTGCCGGTCCCAAGCCCGGATAAAGGAGAAAGGTTGCGCATGGGGTTTGCGTCCCCATCCCGTAGAAAACTAACTCGCTAAAAAAACGCTAACCAGAAAAAATTATTCGAACCTTTTAAACTCTGCCCTGTGAATCAGAAGGTTTTCATTTAGAAGAACTATGACGCCTCATGATGAAAGCCGAGTCCATTCGGAAGTTACGAGGCCGATGCCCCTTTTGACAACCAGAGAAACCATTTATTTAGGTACATGGAATGTTCGTACAATGTGGGACACCGGGAGAGCCTTCCAAATTGCTGCAGAAATGAGAAGATACAACCTAGAGGTACTTGGGATCAATGAAACACATTGGACACAAGTTGGACAACAACGACTAACTACAGGAGAGCTCCTGTTATACTCCGGCCATGAAGAAGAAAGTGCACCACATACACAAGGAGTTACATTGATGCTGTCCAAACAAGCGCAAAATGCGCTTATAGGATGGGAATCTCATGAACTAAGGATCTTCAAAGCCTGCTTCAAAACAAAGAAAGGGGGCATTGCAATGAACACCATCCAATGATATGCGCCTACCAACGACTACAATGAAGACGCTAAAGATCAATTCTACGATAGGCTGCAGTCAATCATCGAGAAGTGCCCAACAAAGGACCTGACCATTCTGATGGGAGATTTCAATGCCAAGGTTGGAATGGACAACATTGGATATGAAGACATCATGGGACGACACGGACTGACTGGGAGAAAGGAACGAAAATGGTGAAAGATTTGCAAACCTATGTGCCTTCAATAAACTGGTCATAGGTGGAACTACATTCTCACATAAGCGCATTCACAAAATCACATGGACTTCACCGGACCACACCACGCAACACCAAGTCGACCATATCTGCATCAACAAAAAGTTCAGGAGGACGATGGAAGACGTGAGAACCAAGAGAGGAGCTGATATAGCATCAGATCATCACTTGCTGGTCACCAAGATGAAATTGAAACTCAAGAAGTACGGGACAACGCAGCGGACAATATCACAAAAGTTCAATACGGCCTTTCTTCAAGATACTGACAAACTCAACAAATTCAAAATAGTCCTCAGCAATAAGTTCCAGGCCTTTCATGATTTACTCAATGGAGAAGGAGCTACTGTGGAGAGCAACTGGAAGGGGATCAAGGAAGCAATCACTTCAACATGTCATGAGGTTCTGGGCCACCAGAAGCACCATCACAAAGAATGGATCACTGTTGATACACTGGATAAGATTCAAGAAAGAAGGAACAAGAAGGCAGCAATTAATACCAGTCGAACAAGAGCAGAAAAGCCAAGGCACAAGCTGAATACACAGAAGGAAACAAACAAGTGAAGAGGAGCATCAGAACTGACAAACGTAAATATGTGGAAGATTTAGCAACGACGGCGGAAAAGGCTACAAGAGAAAAAAACATGAGACAATTGTATGACACGACAAAGAAACTCTCTGGAAATCGCCGAAAACCAGAACGACCAGTCAAAAGCAAGGAAGGCGAGGTAATCACCAACATTGAAGAGAAACAAAACAGGTGGGTAGAACACTTCAAACAACTCTTGAATCCACCAGCCCCACTGAACCCACCCAATATCGAAGCAGCACCCACGGACCTCCCAATCAATGTTGGCCCACCAACAATTGAAGAAATTAGCATGGCCATCAGGCAAATCAAAAGTGGCAAAGTAGCAGGGCCAGACAACATTCCAGCAGAGATACTGAAAGCAGACGTAGCGGCAACTGCAAGGATACTCCACATTCTCTTCAATAAGATTTCGGATGAAGAACAAGTACCAACAGACTGGAAAGAAGGACTTCTGATCAAAATACCGAAGAAAGGCGATCTCAGCAACTGTGATAACTACAGGGGCATCACTCTTCTCTCAATACCGGGAAAAGTCTTCAACAGGGTATTGTTAAACAGGATGAAGGACTCCGTAGACGCCCAACTTCGTGACCAACAGGCTGGATTCCGTAAAGATAGATCGTGTACAGACCAAATCGCAACTTTACGGATCATTGTGGAACAATCAATTGAATTGAATTCATCACTCTACATCAACTTCATTGACTACGAAAAAGCATTTGACAGTGTTGACAGAACAACATTATGGAGGCTTCTTCAACACTACGTCGTACCTCAGAAGATAGTCAATATCATACAGAATTCATATGATGTATTACACTGCAAAATCGTGCATGGAGGACAGTTGACAAAGTCGTTCGAAATAATGACCGGTGTCAGGCAAGGTTGCTTACTTTCACCCTTTCTCTTTCTCCTGGTGATCGACTGGATCATGAAAACGTTAAAATCTGAAGGGAAGCACGGGATACAATGGACATCTAGAATGCAGTTGGACGATCTAGACTTCGCAGATGATCTGGCCCTTCTATCGCAATCGCAACAACAAATGCAGGAGAAAACGACCAGTGTAGCAGCAGCCTCAGCAGCAGTAGGTCTCAATATACACAAAGGGAAAAGCAGGATTCTCTGTTACAACACAGCATGCACCAATCCAATCACAATTGACGGAGAAGATTTGGAAGATGTAAAAACCTTTACATATCTGGGCAGCATCATTGATGAACAGGGTGAATCTGATGCGGATGTGAAGGCGCGGATCGGTAAAGCAAGAGCAGTATATTTACAACTAAAGAACATCTGGAACTCAAAGCAACTGTCAACGAACACCAAGGTCAGGATATTCAATACAAATGTCAAGACAGTTCTACTGTATGAGGCGGAAACCTGGAGAACTACAAAAGCCATCATCCAGAAGATACAGGTGTTTATTAACAGTTGTCTACGTAAAATACTTCGGAACCGTTGGCCGGACACTATTTGCAACAACTTACTGTGGGAGAGAACAAATCAGATCCCAGTGGAGGAAGAAATCAGGAAGAAGCGCTGGAAGTGGATAGGACACACATTGAGGAAAGCACCCATCTGCGTCACAAAACAAGCCCTCACATGGAATCCTCAAGGCCAGGTGAGGAGAAGAGGACGACCAAAGAATGTATTACGCCAGGAAATGGAGATAGACATGAGAAAAATGAACAAGAATTGGATGGAACTAGAAAAGAAGGCCCAGGACAGAGTGGGTTGGAGAATGCTGGTCGGCGGCCTAGGCTCTATTAGGAGTAACAGGCGTAAGTAAGTAAGAGCTGAAACCTACGTAAACTGTAAATACCTCATCAAATCAGAGGGTAGAGAAAATATTGCGTAAACAATTGGCTATTAGGAGTCGTAGGTAAGTAATCGGTATTTAGTCATGTAGTCCATTGTATTTAACAGATGAGGTGTGTACTGGAAACATCCACAGACCGTATGATTTCCAAAAAAGTAGCAAAATTCAGAAGTTTAGAATAAGACTAAGCTCGAGGATTAGTGTAAGATATGGGATAAGTGAATCTACTCAGCTGCGAGAAACTCCAAGCTAATTAATTTAACACCACCAACCATGAATAACGATAGGTTCATAGATCTCGATCAAGAATTCTACAGCCAGGGTCAGCTTCTAACCCATACACCACTGAGAGTTTGAATCACGGAAATATTTTACAAGTATCTTTATTTTAATGTCTTCCAAACGCCACTTATTTTAATTCCAAGTTTTAAAAAATTTATCGTATCTTAGTAGAACATTGGATACAATGTTGATTTGTAAATTAATAAATCCATGAAAGCCGAGTGTTAACGAAATTACAAACAAGCCGGAATCTTTACACATTAATAAAGGCATGTCATCAACAAAATGAAATGTCTGCTCTAATATCCTTCAAAAATAAATTCAATTTAAACGAAGCAAACAAGAAATAGCGTCTCACGAACATGCCAGAACAACAAGAAAATGAATTTAAACATGTTTGTGTAGCGTGAATTTATTTACAATCTATACAAAAATGAATACACATAAAAATTTTGCAGTTTGATATACTACTCTTATAAGAAAATATGCACAAGAAGACAAGATATCACAGCAAAACTATCCAGATCCAATAGACATAGGTATCCATTTTTTCAACAATTCATCGGTGTATAGATCATCAACGAGAGTGCATAGATCCATTTTAATTTTCTATTATTATAAAACAAAAAGCAATCAAAACAGCTGATAAACATCAGAAAAGGTATAAATAATTACGAAAACACGAAATCCAAAGAAAATGAACTGAAAGGATAAAATCACGATAACATATTTCAGAAGATATTGCGACAAATCAACTGCCGATGTTAGTATACATCATGGTATAAAAGTTTTTGTATATATGATATTTATCAAAAGTAGCATGAACATGAGATACTTATTAGTTAAAACATAAACAATCAGGGATGACAAAAATCAAGGTGATTAAGTAATCAAATACTCTTCATTTTAGTCTATGTCATACTGTTTGATAACAAAGATACTTAATTTTAGTACATTGATAAAAATAACTTCTGACAATTCACAGCGTCATTAATCACGTCCACTACAAAGTATAGTCGGTGGCAATATGACCTTTTTCTTATAAACCTAAGATCCTTTTTGCTGCTAGTATCAATCTATAAATAATTTTATCCCCCTTCGGTAGTTTTCGATTGTTTATTTTAACAGTTTACTACACATGAACGTTGTCTTAGATTGGGAAGTAAACTACGTGTTTCTACGAGGAATTAATGATGCAATATATATGGTAAACGTTTGAAACTAGATTGATGAATGTAACCGAGGTTTTGTTACTTCGTTGGTTATGTTGTAGTGTTGGTTACTATGTTAAGCCCATATAACTTATTCTACCTTCTGGATAGGCCAATTTGTTCATTTTTCTTGAGTCATATTTTGACCTTGTTAATTATTCACCTATCGAACTTGACTGTTTTTATATGAGAGTGTGTGTACACTTCTTATCCTATTCAAAACAGATCTGTAACTTATTTTCGTCTGGCTATAAATATCGATTGACGCTTGGTTAAATTGAGTTGTTTTACATGCCATTTTCAATGAACGTCGTTTCGTTTCACTCTCTTCGCTTTATCCCTCCGATTGTCTCTTCAAATCAATGAGTGTACAAAATATACGCATTCAAAAATCCGTCCTCGTATTTGGCTTATTTAATTTTGTTATTCACTAATGCAAATTAAGTCGATAAATATATACGAGGATTGGCAACATTTATACTTCGATAATAAGCAGAAATACTCCATCTGGAAGCAGATATAGGGCCACTAAAATATGGTCGTATTAGCTTTGATAGATTACTC